GATATATATATATATATATATATATATATATAAAATGTCTCAGGTGTTCCTGGATATCATTATATTTCAAAATAATTTTAAGACCTACTTGTCAAGCTTCCTTCAAAGTCTTTCTGGTGTATGTGTGTGTGTTTAGAGAAACCTAATAACTGCTTTTCCTGAGTTAAGATAATTCTATGATTTTTCTTCTACTTTGACCTACTAATGTAAGTAAAATAAAGTGAAATATTTTCTCACTGTGAAACATACTTATATTTTTTGGCTAAATTATACTTTATTGTGGTATATCAATGTTCAATACACAATTGAATTTGTTTAGTTATACCTAATTTAATTTTATATTTGTGTTTCTACTTGTAAATGATTGTAGTTTATACAAAATAGAAATATTATAAGAAAATAAAATTATAAGCTACTCTCCAAACCACATAGTGACAAGAATTTTTTTTGCATTGAGCTATCCTAGTGAAAAGCACCAATCATGCTGCAGCAGCTTTCTCCCATTAGTATCACTCTTGATATTTCTGAGAGTTTCAACATTAATATATATCTACAGATATTTTATAGATAAAGGTCACTAGGGTATAAAGTTTCTATATTCGATGGATTCATAGTGGACTCCTACTGTGTCTTTCCTCTGAGAAATCAGATCTCAGAAAAGTGTACAATGATTAGACTTATTATAAGAAACATGAAAATAGTGAAGATTGTCACAAAGGATTCGAATTGTCTGTCCTCATCTAGCTGAGAGGGCATGTTTGCTTGAACATAGCCTAAGTGAATAAATACCCGCTCCAAGCTGGGAAGCTCCTACATTTCTGAAAATAGGAAATTCTTGAAGATCAGGGGAATTTTATTTGACCTGTTTAGTTACAATTCACTCTCCTGGATTCTTCCTATTGAAATTTAGCTGGCCTTTAATTTTTCTTTGGACTCTTCTGACATAGACCACTCCTTAGCTTAACACCAGGGACTGATGACATTTGTTTAATTTTACATAGAACAAGATATAACCTTTGTTACCCATATATAACTAAAAAACATGTTACTTTGCCTCCTACTTAAGATACCCATTGCAAGAGTAGATTAGAGGCTGACCAATCATTTTCCTTCCAGGTTGATTATCTCTGTTAGTATAATGCAAATATTTGCGTGTGGTTTATATAATAATTTTTTAGACACTGTTCTGAATGTAATTTGCCTCCTTATACAATCTCTTGTGTTCTTTTGCACATTTTTCTGTGTTCCTATCCTTGTGAGTAACCACTTAAAAGACCTTACTACATCTCTCCCTCTTCTGAAATCTCATACAACATATTTATATTACTCTTATATGATATACCAAATTTTAAATGTTATTAAAATTATTATTTTAGAATGATTTGTATACATGTATAATTTATGATAGTATGCTCCAAGCTCTTTCAAGGCAGAAAATTATTGTTTTGTGTACAGAGTAGATGTTCAATTAATACTTATTGGATAAATAAACTGCCATTCTGTGATACTTTACATCTAGGGATATTCAGTTTTGTGTTTTAACACATTGTTTGGATGATTTCCTAATACATCGGGATTGCCAAACAGTATTATCTGTCCTTCCACTTTGACTCCTTCAAACTTACCCCTTCCTTATTCTTTGATCTCACCACTCTAGCCACATAGGACACACAGTAAACCTCTTCCCAGTCTTATGTTACCATTAGGTTATTCTGTATTTCCTCCTTAGCCTGAAGCTGCCACAGCAGCCTTATGTATAGCTTCTCAGAGCTTACTAGGAATGTTCAAAAAGAAGTCTGTATAATTATCAAATGTTACTCTGGCAATTGGGCAGAGGTAGATTTAACTTTGAATATTGATAAGGGCACCTTGTAATGTACTTATTTTACATTCTGAAGCTTTAATAAACCTAAATAATTCATTCCCACCAAAGTGGGATTTGCAATCTATTTCGGACATACAACTAATGTATCGAAATAAAATATATTCAAATAAAATTTAAACAAATTAGATGGTTATTGCTGAAATACAAGAGTTGACTAAAGATTTGAACTTGGAAAGGGTATGCATTTAGAATTAGTCAAAACTAGAGTTTAGTCTTGAATTTAGAATCTATGAACTTTTATATCTCTGATCTTGAATTTCCCAGTTTGTGGAAGAATGAAGATAACTTCTGAGGATGGTTAAGCTTAAATAAGCCATAATTTGTATGAAACACCCAGCATAGTGCTACTACATAGTATTCACTCAATAAAATGCATTTCTTCTCCAAAGTATAAAAATCTACATTTTCTTCATTCTCACTATCTCATTTCTATATGAGTTGGGTTCCTCTGTCCTACTTTACCTCTAAATGAAAAGCTGAAAAAATGGATAGAAACATCGTTGTCGAATGTACTCCCTTTTCTTGGCTACCAAGATGTTCATTACAAATTAAATTAATAACTACTTTCTGTTACTGCTACTCCAAAATATTTAAAGGTCCAGTTGAATTATTATGGTTAGGCAGAACTTGCTAAATTGTAAGTAATTTCCGCAAGGGGGAAGACAATAATATTTACCTCCTAAACAAGCAAAAATAGAAAAATATTGAACATGAAAAATAATAATGAAAAAGGATTTCAAAAAAAGAGATCATGTATATTAGTATATTCCTTGAGAACTGGATTGGAGAAAAGACAAGAACCTGAAAGGCAAAGCAATAGACCTTGTCTTGTAGATTTAGTCCAAGCATGTTTTCATTTGAAAAGCTAGTTGTTATCCTGTGAATAGATGGGAAAAGTATCCTTTGTCTTCCTCCTCTGCCAAAGACCTGGGAATCAATCTTGCTTTTAAAAAAAAAATTACAATAAAGCTTACACATTCCCAAATTTTCTATCTGGTTGCATCTTGTAGATAGATGAAAACACAAAAGTGGGCTGTCAGCAGAGCTGGAAGTGCCTGAGAATGGAAGCGTAGTGCCAATACGAGTAAACAAATTCTGTTCAGACATGCTGGAGACTTGGGCAGAAGCTAACAGCATCTAACTCACTTCAGTAATTTCAGCCTTCCACGATTTTTCCTTCTTATATAAACCATTAATGCTTTGGGTCTCCATTTTAAAGGGAATCATGTGGAGATTTCACTCATCCTCTCTAAGCCTACATAATATCAAACTGACACACGGCTTAAGTGAATAGTCTTCAACTTATGTCTTTGTTCTAAACCCTTATTTAGTAGAGCTGCAACTCTGAATGCTTTTCACAAAGCTGCCAAAGGGCTTTTTAAATTAAAAGACGGTAAACACTAAGATGGCCCTCAGTTCCAGACTCATTAGCTATTGTATCATTTTCTTTGCAGTTTTATAAGGAATGAAAAAAGTAGGAATTAAGGTGTCAAAAGAAAGTTTTTCCCTGTTAGAAGTCTGAGTTGGAAGGGAGAGGAGTTCTTAAATGAGAAAATAGAGTTTCAAATATAAGTTTCACATCACAAGCTGTTTTGGGGAGTGGATGCTTAAATGTTAGAGTAAAGCAAAAAGGTGCCTACACGTGGCGATGAGTAGTGAGGCAGAGTAAACCATCAAAAGCACACTTGTGAGCCGCCATGGGTGTGATTAAGTGACAGGCCTTACTGAAGACCCTATGTCCCAAGTAACAGAAAAGCTCCAGCTCAAACTGGGTAAAAGTTATGTGACCTCACACAACAGGACTGCAGTGTCAGGGCTGTTAGACGTTGCATCTCAGCGATACCATCAGGACCCAATTTCTTATCTGCTCTTCCACCCCCATCCTTCATGCTAGTTGCATCACGAGGATGCTAGCAATATTCATTCCAGCCATGCAACCACACAAAGCAATGCAAAGAGGAGTAATACAATCATTTCTTTCTGGTTTTCTTAAAAGTAACAAAAATTTTCTCATGAGCATCTTCTCCCACCACCCTTCCCCAACCCAGCCCCACCCCATCCCCTCCAGCCGGCTGCTCCTCAGGTCTTAGTGGCCAGAAGTGGGTCACATACCCACTCTTAAACCAGTCGCTGGCAAGGAGAACTGGATTTCCACGACTGAATAAGACTAATCATTGTCTACACTATCAGAAATTCTGGGACATCAGCTTCCTCTGTATTGCATGGGGAAGAAGTAGGTACAAATGCAAAATAGAGTTTTTATTGGGAAAAGAAGCAAGTGAAAAACTGTAGAAAACTAACAGTATCCACTATTATATATTGCGAGATCTAAGATAATTAAACAGAGAAGATGAATGTAGACTTCCTGGACTTGAGAACTATAGGCTTCTAATAAGGGTAAAAGAACTTTGTATCCAATATTAGAAAAGAAGAAGAATGTATAGATCTTCTTAAAGATCCTAAGAATTGAATTAAAGTGGACAAAACACTTTAGGGTTACAATGTTTATCATAAAATCTAGAGTGGGCCACTAAGTGAAGCTTTGCAGGGATGTGATAAGCTCCACAACTTTAGACAAACAAAAGAGAATCCAGATTAAGGACTAGCTTTAGAAAACAAAACCAAAGCCATTTTGGCCTGGCCAGTGTGGTTCAGTTGGTTGGAGCTTGACAATTTGATTCCTGGTCAGGACACATGCCCAGGTTGTGGGTTCGATCCCTAGTCAGGGTGTGTACCAGAGGCAACAGGTCGATGTTTCTCTCTCACATCCATGTTTCTCTCTCCCTTTCCATTCTTCTCTCTCTAAAATCAATAAAAACATTAAAAAAAAAAAAGCCATTTCAAAACCCTTCATTGATAACAGTTGCAGAAATCTGCCTAGGTGCTTGGGGTAGTAATAAAAATACTGGCGTGTGATTCTATGACAGAGTGTAATGTGTGTGTTGCTTCCCCGCTCATGCCCTGGATTAGGTTTCTGTCATCAGTGGAACTTACCTTGGGCTGGATTATATGAGTAAGAAAAACGGAGGTGAGGGCGGCATCGTTATCAATATGTCATCTTTGGCAGGTAAGGACGCTTGTTTTGTTAATAATTTCTTATTGGTTATTTGGACCACAAAAGTAAATCTTCAGAGTATGTTTATTATCATCTTGGGTTTGAAATTGAAATTTTGTTTTATTTTTGTGTGTGTTTTTAATGGCTCTATGGAATTTTCTATTGCACATCAAAAGTTTGAACTCTATGTTATTTTCTGTTATTTTAAATTGTGACTTCTTAAGTTATCTTACTGCAGTACTATTTTTTTAAAACACCCACACATATATTGTTTTTCAAAGGTTGTTGTGAGATTTCTGATCAGTAATACATGTGAAAGCACCTTTGGCAAAGTGAAAAGTACACACAAAGTTAAGGTATCTCTACTCCCACGTGATTTTAGTAAGAATGTGGAGTTTTAAAATAGGGCAGATGTAACGGTCGAGATATGCTGTCCAGAGGCCGGACTTTACCTCTACTTTCTTAGGTTCTCTGGCTGGGCCTGAGAATTAAGCTGACATGAAATAGAATCACTGGAGAAAAGCATACAGATTTTTACACGTACATGGGAACCTCCAGTGGAAAATGAAGACCCAAAGAAGTGGCAAGGCCTAAGCGTTTATAATCTAGGTTGAACAAAGAGAAGCAATTGTGGAAAAGCAACTAAAATATACAGGGACAGCAAAGGAAGATCAAAGGAAGATAACCAGGTCTTTTTTGTACAGGTTTCTCTTGACTCCTGATCTCTCGTGATAAAAATGTTTCTTTCTTCCTGTATAGGTAGGGCATCTTTTACATTCGATTTTCAACTCCTGCTTTCAGGAAGAAAGGGGAGGTCCAAGTGCCTTTCTTGCACCTGCTGTTTTTCAAGTCTTTTTCCCTCGAAATAATTCTCATGCCAGAGTGGCCGGTTTGGGGGTGGCCTAGTGTGTCATCCTTCAATGCTAAACTGCTATAATAAATAGACCCAAGCACATATGGCTTAAGTATAGAATACTTTTATTCCTCACTCATATTTCATTCCAGGGTGAGGTTCTTGCTGCAGCGAACCTCTGCTATGAGCAGTGATCTGGAAAACAAGGCTGGCGGCAGCTCTGTCTTTGCCATGGAGCTTTCTAGGTTACTGAACCATTGGTGAACTCCTTTCCAGCAGAAAGATAACGCTGAGGAGGCAAAGCTGCTCTTCTGAAACCCCCCACCCAGTAATGGCAAACTTCACTCTTGCTCACATTCCAGTCTGGATTTTTACTTCGTGGCTCATCTAACTATAAGAGAGTCTGAGAAATGCAGTCCAGCTTTGTGCCTGAGGAAAAGTAGATGCCTGTGGGTAGTTCATCAGCTCTGTCACAATGTGCAATCCGAACTGCTTTACTCAGAGCAGTGTGATTTACTATCAGCTGCTATCATATTACTCAATAGTAGCTATCAGTGGTCCGTTGGCAGGAACTTTTGGAGCTACTTAGCCAGATCCCTTACTTTTAAAATTCTAGGAAAAAAAAAAAAATCAATGGTTCTTGAATAGTTCAAGAGGTAGTATGAAGTTTTAGAAGTCTGATCAATAGTGACAGCAAGTCTAAATTATTCATGTCCAAAAATAGTGAGATTTTCTTAAATGATCTGGTTGGTTTCAGCCCGTGTGGTCATTTCACAATAGGCACCTTCTGACCTTGTTCTCCACCTCCCAGCTCCAGTAATACCTGGGCAGTCAATTTTGAAGGTACCTGTGACCATGCCAGTGTCTGATTCTCAGCATTTTCCTCATTCCTTTGGAATCATTGTTAGATGGTCTTTAAACCACCAACGCCTGCCACCAGTGGAGACTTAGGAGTCTCCTTCTTTACAAGTTCTCAAAAAAAAAAAAAAAAAAAAAGGCTCATTTTCTGGGTTGCTTAAGGACAAAATGGCATCCCTAAAGTTATTATAGACCTAATTCTATAATCTGTTCAGGATAATCCAGTTATTCCTAATATGACATCTACTAACATTTCAATTTTAAGGATATATTAAGAGGTAAGAGCATGGGCAATACTAAGACATTTGGCCCCAGAAAAGACCAAGTTTTAGATTCTGAGAGGCTTAAACCCTAAAGGTAAATTGTCAAGGCTAAATCTACATAATTTAAAAATAAAACCATAAAAAAATACATAAATGATTGGAAATTAACAAAAATATTTAATGTTTTATTTAAAATATAAATGTGAAAAAACCTGGGGTGGTGGTTAAGAGAAAATTGCATGGACTATCTCTCTAAAGCTAAGAGGGCTAGCAAAGCTTGAACCATGGGAACCCCTTGCCCAGGATCACTGGAGGCATTGATTTCTTCTTAGGAAGGCTAGAAGGCCTCGGGGTTGGGTCAATTTAGGACTCTCTGGAATACATTCTGTACTGTAAGAGAAGGTTTACTTGCCCTAAAAACCATAAATAGAGAAATGCAATGTAGTACTGCCTTTTATCCAATAAGAATATATAAATATATAATAAACAACATTCATTGAGCACTTGCTGTTTACATGATACTAGTTTAAATATTGTGTATGCAATTAGTTCATTTCATACTCACAACAACCCCGTGAAATCGATTTTATAATCTCCATTTTGTAGATGAGGAAACTGCGGCAGGAGAGTTTTAGTGTCTTGCAATAGTTTTTACATCAAGGAAGCAGTAGAACTGGAATTCATGTGCAAGCAGCCTGATAAAAGACCTCTTATGTACTAACCACTGGAATATCTCACTCTTCTATCTATGAGTGTGTCTGTTAATCTCTTTAACCGTGTCCATCTTTATCTGTGAAGTGAAAAAAAAAAATGCTTACAATGTGATGAAGCCAGTGTAATTTGCTAGTATCTTCAGACCTCCTGGGTGTTGCTTTAATCTTTTTTTAATTCATTATTGATATTTTGGTGAGATATATTTATTACCAAGAAACATACCTTAGGTATCTTGAGGTCTTTGGTTATTTCTTGTGAAGCAAATATTTCAGAATAAAAATAAGAGTAAAAAAGGTAGAACCTCTATATTTTCAATTAAATTGGCAAAAAGCATAAACCCACAATTCACAGAACAGATAGAATGAGTGGCTAACAAACAGGAATAAATGATCAACCTCATGAGTAATCATAATGATGCAAATGAAAACAAAAATAAAATTTAATGTTTTAGCTATCAGATCAAGACAGATTTAGAGTAAATACTCCTGACTGGCCAGAATGTGCTGAAAACAGATTGTCAAATACTGCTGGTGTATGGGAGCCACTGCTTTCATCTTAAAATTACTAAACCTTGAGTGAAATCCTAAATTTCTGCCTCATTTGACACACAGAGTAAAGCCCTGAAAACATTTGGGGAGCTTACCAAAGTCTCAAGTCAAAACATGCCATTGAGAAGAGCAATTTAAGGATTACAATTAGAGGCCCACTTTGCTTTTCTGGCTAAGAGCTTGGTTTATCACACCACCCACTCCTGGGTGTTAATTCTCTTCTTACCTATCTCAGAGCCAATATTTGGAAACACGAGTAGATCTTTCTCTAATCATGCAAATAGAACCACGAATGGCTATAAATTCAATGATAAGATTGTTCTTGTTTTAAATGACCATTCTTGCACTCCTACAGTTAATGAAGATCATAGCATTCCAAACTGCTTCTCCCTCTGATATTTTTCCTAATAGGCAGGGTGACTCTGTTTATAGTGATTAAAATAGTTTATCTTTGTCCCTTCTACTGGATTCAGTACCTTCATCAGTATGAAGGGAGGCACCCTCCCTTCTTAATGCCCAGCCTCCACCCCGTGCATTTACACTGTTTCCTGTTGCCTGTGGCCAACCTAAGTAGCCTCTGCTTTACCTCTCTGCCCACCCCGGGCTTTGTCACGAAGGTGCCCTCATCTCAGAAAGAATATTAAAATGTATTGCCTTGTATTTTATCCACTCACCAAGAGCTTCTATTCTTTTCATAATGAGATTAGTTGGACAAAAATTGAAAATTTTGTAATAATAGAAGAAATTGTGGACCTCTCTGGCTTCAGACTTTCCTCAGAAATGTTATCAACAATTTTATACCCTTGAAGTCATAGCATGTTGGTAGAGGTCAGATGACCAAAATGTCTTTGAGGAGTTCTAGAGTCAAATTATTTTTCACTCAGTTTTATTGAGGTGTAATTGACAAAATTGTAGGAACAGTATTTCTGATGTTTGCTTCCTTTTGTTTTCTGAACTTTCCTCCACAGATTTGTCCTGTTCCCA